ATGGCAGCAAGCAGCTTCTTTCTTGCCTTACATGGTAAACAAGCTACCCCCACCTAAGGGGCATGTAGCTCTCACATAATCTTTGCCCTCCTCTTCCACAGGCTCAGGATGTATACAAAATAAGCACCCTGGCTTCCTGCTGAGTCACTTAGCCAAACCTCTAGACTCCCCAAATTGACACAATGTATCAACCATAACATGTTCTAATTCATTTCTATATTTTTCATTTAATGTTTCTGTCCATTGCCTATGTTCTTCTATTTTTTTTATATGTTCTTTAAATGTGCTGAGCAGTTCTTTTATTATTATTGTCATTTCATTTTTTGCCTGAGAGAGTATTTCTGATCTGTTGTCTTCTATGGCCTTATGGAGTTGTTTCTCTACTTCCATTGCAATCTTTTCACCAATTTCATGAGTGTGTTTACCAAGTTCTCTTATGTCAATGTCTCCTGGACTTGTTGTGAGTGTGGTTGAGTTCTGAGATTGCATTTTAGTCCTTCGTCTTATCATGTTTGATACGTGATGCAGAAAGCTCAGTCTCCTTCTTCTCTGGCAGCTCAGCAAAGGCTGCTAATGTCCCTAGTTTTTCTGGTGGTCAAGCTTGCCCTTCAGTGTGTGCTGAGATGTGCTGCTTAGTCTGGGGTCTTCTAGCATATGGTGAAGTATATCTAGTTCTCCCAGGTCTCATATGCAGACTGTGATGTCTACTGATGGCAGACCATATGATCCAGCATCTCCTCACATTTCAGGGTACAAGTATGACCCAGAATCAGGTTGCACTGGTGGTACAATCCTGAACCAGTGGTCCTGTGTCCCCAGGCATTTCAGGGTACAGGCAAAACCCAGACACGAACTGCAGGGTCAACAGTTTTTGGACAACCTGATTCTGTGTCTGCAGGCACCTCAGGACATGCACAGGCTCTAGATGTGGCTGCACTGACAGCGATGGCAGACTGCCTGTGTCTGTGACCTCCTGGAGGTCAGGGCACAAGTAAAGCCCAGAATTGAACCACAGTGCCAACAGCTCATGGAGCACCTGCTCCAGTACCTCACTCAGTGCTGGGCATGCACAGGGAGGGCCCACATGCGAACCCTGGTGAGAGCAGTTTGTGGGCCTTCTGAGTGAGGATCTCTTGTCTGCACTGGGTGCACAGAGGGCCAGGATGCTTTTTAATTCTCAAAACAACCCTGTCAAGTCAATGTCATCAATTGGTGTAAGTGATTTACTGCAGTCATGGAAGGTAGTGGGATTGGTACTCAGGTGTGTCACTGCCAGAGCTTGTGGTCTTGACTATGTATTTATACCACATGGGTCAGTGCCTTGCTAATGGTAGTGATTCCTAAAATTATCATTCAATTCAGTCACTGTTAAATAATTGTCAGAAACAAATTGGAATCTTGGCATTTTTTCCTATTAAATTAATCCTCAATTTATCTGATATTGGTTTCATTCCTCCTGGTGAAATTTTGTTGAAGTTTTACCTGTTAACATTTGGATGTGCTAGGCGTGGTGGCACATACCTGTAATCCCAGCACTTGGGAGGCTGAGGTAGGAGGATTGCTGTGAGTTTGAGGCCAGGTTGGACTACATAGTGAGTTAAAGGCCAGCCTGAACTACATAGTGAGACTGTGTGTCCAAAAAAAAAATTTAAGGAAGGGCAGGGCAGGGCATAGGCAAACTTTGTGAAAACTCAGATATGGGTTGCATGAGCTCAGGTGAGAGGATCCCATTCCATGGGGTCACTGACTGTTACTGGATGTAACTACCTGAAAGAAGACTGGATTTTCCAACTTTCTTTATATTTTATTTATCTCTGAGTTTTAGAAATTAAAAATAATTGTCGAATGCTATCCATTAACATTTTTGTGATGTAGGGAGAAGTACCTCATGCCTTAAAAACTTTTATTTTTGTTTTCTTGATCTGTCCTAAATGATATGAGCAGAAAGTGGAAACCAGCTGACTGAAGCCAGGGCTGCTTGCGTGAGCTTCATTAAGATAACCATGAAGAGTAAAAGCTGATTGGCAACTTTAAAAAAATAAAAATCAACTGAAAAAAGCTGCAACCTGAGCGTTCCCCAGCCTCTTGCGGGTGGGTGTCCTGTGCCTCTGCAGGGGCTGATGGCTGCATTTAGAATAACTCTAGTCCTTGCTTCTCCTCCAGGCCCCTCCCCACCCTGGTGGCTCATCTTCTCTTTCTTCCTTCATGCCTTTGCTTCCTTCTCAGTGCCTATTGACCTCCTGGTGTGTGTCAGGAGTGAAGCTGATGACGACAGTAGGAAGCAAGAGGAAACAGGAGGGTGGATTTGTAAGGTCCCCCAGAGCAATGCTGAGCATAAGCCCAGGTGTGGGTGGATGGGAAGGACTGTGCAAGATGTTTCTAAGGCTCAAAGCTTGGCTCAACCTTCAAATGAGAGAGCTTTTCTAGCAGTCAAAGGCCTGGAGAATATTCTACAGTTAGGGAATACACAGGAAAATGTGCACAAATAAGAAGTGTCTGAGGAAAGGATGCAGTTGGAGATGGGAGCTGGGGCTGGGAGATTCTGGAAGCAGGGACTTGAGGGACCAGAGGGCAGATCCTGCAGGTGCTTCCTTGGTGTAGCCTCTTCCTCATTTGATGGGTACTGAATCAGACAGTGAATTTATTGTTTTTTTAGCAGGACACACTATTGCTAGGTTGATCCCTCTGGTTAAAGTAGGTACCATCCTCCCTCACTGCCCCATCCATTTTCTAGTGGAGTATTTTAACTCGTTGAAGGTCTTCAGGATGTTTGTATCCATTTTGCAGGCAGTTTCTAGTATTTGGTACATGGGATCCAATCACCTCCACACAGCCAGGTCTTCCTGCACACCGAGACCCCAGGTGCAAACTGTGAGCTGACTCCTTAGATGTGCTGGGCAGTGTCTTGGAAAGCCTGCTCTCCTAGAACAAGGCATTACTAAGGAGAGGGCATTCAAACCTGTAGCTTATTTAAGTAAACTCACTAATTGATCAAGAAGTCAAATTTTTTGCATTAGAAAATAAACTGTCTTTCCTTTCTTACCAATTTTTAATTAAATTTTTAATGAAATTTTTAATTAATAAATTTTTTATTTTTAAATAATTTTTGAATTTTTTTATGAATACATATTTACAGTACATAATAATTGCTTTCCTCATGTGGAGCTGGTACATATACATAACTCATTTTAATTCAAGTCCCCCTTTGCTCCCCTCACTCAACCTTCCCTCCTTTTCTTGGTCCCCTTTCTGCTTGCTAAAGATCTACCTTCCCATTTCCTATTATCTACCTTTTATTTTGCTCTTTATATTTTAGGATTCTCATATATAACTGTCTGCAGTTGCTTTGGGGCTGTCACTCACAAACCTCTTAGTTGTTTGTCTTACAGAATTATCTGTAATCAGTTTAGATGAAGCAGCAGAAATACTTCAAAGATTTGCTAGTTGAATATGGTACACACAATTTCCACCATATATACCGGACTTCTAAGGAAAGTGAAGCCCACTGCTTGAAGTTCTTTTCTGAAATATTATGTATTAAGGATGCCATAATTCTTTTCTGCAGGTTCAATTAGCAGAATTTCTTGAAAATTTACAAGAAAAATCCTTGAGGATTGAGGCCTTTGTTAGTGAGATTGAATCTTTTTTTAATACCATTGAGGTAAGTTAACATAATCCCTTTTGCCTTATCATAAGTAAATGATTCTGAGCTAAAGGGATCTGAATTGGGGTGTGTGTGTGTGTGTGTGTGTGTGTGTGTGTGTGTGCACACGCTGCTCACCACTGCTAGTTTTGTTCCTTTCAGAGTGAGAGTACTTGGTGTCTTGCCTGGATGCTACTTTCTGCCTAAGAACAAAAGGTTCACCTGTCACAACAGACATTCAGTCGTGGGCACTTACTATATTCAGGGTTTTGCATGCTTTGCCTAATTTAATCCTCCTAACAGCCACATGAGATAGGTGTTATTGCTTCCATTTAGTAGCTAAAAAGTGGAGACTTAGAGTTCAGAATGTTGCTCTGCTTTTCTGGCTCTCTGTGGGTTAACCCTGCTAAGATGCTTGAGGGCGCTGCCGGGAGCTGTGCCCAAGGCCAGTGAGAGCTCTCCAGATGCTGCTGTTCCCATGAGCTCTCTCCCTCTTGGCTGCTACTGTGCACCCCGCACAATGAAGGGAGCAGGTAGTGATGCTCCGCGCCTCTACA